CCCCCACTCCCCACTCCCACCCCTTCCTGCCCAGATAAGGCCTCAAAGAAATCATCACTTTCATTTCAGTTCAAAAAGAGAGCATTTTGCCAGAGCCCATCATTAATCGCTTGACTTGCCTGGGTTTACTCCCTTCCCCCATCCACGCCTCCCCTCTGACTTCTCTGAGTCTTGAATTCCCTAAATTAACAATAATAATTTTAAGCATGTCCCTTTATAGAACAAAACTCCCCAGTTCCTGGGCTCCTCAGGCTCACGCTTGCCCCTGGTCAGAGGCCATTGCTGGGTCTCTGGCTTTGTGCCTGTGCCTTTTATGGTTAGTGCGTGTTGTGTCCTGGCTAAGATATCTTCGCCAACCTGAAGGTCATGAAGATATTCACCTAAGTTTTAAAACTTTAAAACATAGATTTAAAAAAACAACTGTGGAGTTTTTGCTTGTATGTTCAGGTGTATGATCCCATCAACTGATTTTTGAATGAGGTAGGTTTCCCCATTGAAATGCATGGACGGTTTTGTCAAAAAGGAGGTGACTCAGTGCACAATGAATTTGGAAAACTTAGCACCAATAAAAAAGCATGTAACTTTTCTAAAAACTAAAATAAAATGTAGTGATTTTGTTTCTGGACTCTATTCTAGTCCTTTGCTCTATTTGTCTGTTCTCCTGCCAATGTACATTATCTTGATTACTCCAGCTTTAAAATAAGTCTTGAAGTCGAGTAGATTAAGTCATTGCATCTTTAAAGGGGTGGGGTGTCAGCAGAATTAAAATATCTTCCTGGAAGATCTAATCCTCCATTCGAGAAACAGGACCACTGGGTCACACCGTAGAGACTGAGCACCTGAGATCAGGGAGGGCTGTTGTGGGTTGAATGGTGTCCCCCAAAAGATACGTTTAAGTCCTAACTCCCAGCACCTCAGAATGTGATCTTATTTGGAGACAGGGTCTTTAGAGTTCCCCAAGTTCAAATGAGGTCATTACGGCGAGCCCCAATCTGATATGACTAAGTGCTTATAAAAAGGGGAAATTTGGACACACAGACCTGCCCAGAGCGAAGACAGAGGAGGTGGCCATCGACAAGCCGAGGAATGCCTGCGGCTGCCAGAAGCTGGACGCGAGGCCTGCAACAGATGCTTGCATGGAGCCTAAAGAGGGAACGGGGCCCTGCTGATACCTGGATGTCAGACTTCTGGCCTCCAGGACTGTGGGACAGTGAATGTCTGGTGTTCTCAGCCACCCAGTTTGTGGCAGCCCGGGAGACTGACCCGAGTGTCCTGGAGAGTCGAGGTGGGATCTTCAGCCAGCCAAGGAAGCTGGGTTCTGCTGGGTTACTCAGGGCCTGTAAGTGTGTTCCGGATGTCAACAGAGATTAGACAAGGGCACGGACTTTGGAACTAGGCCCACCCTGACCCAAACCCCAGCTTTGTCCCTTTATAAGCGTGCCACTTTGGGCCAGCAACCCAACCTCTCTGAGCCCCACCTGCGAAATGGGAATAGTAGTGGGACTTGGCAGAAAGGGTTGTTAGGAGTGTCCCAGGAAAGGACGTTTGTCTGGCCGTTAGCACAACGCTCAGCACATGGTGGGTCCTGGTTTCCCTCTTGTGGAAACGATCCGTACGCAGCGAAGGCTCAGTGACAGTCCTGGGCTTGGAAGGGCAGGAGGAGGAGCTGCTTCTGGTACCCGGGAAGGACGGAGTCACCCGATGGAAGCTGGCCCCGCAGTGGGCCTGTCTGGGAGAAGTGGACACACAGGAAACTGGCTGCTGCTGGAGATACTGCCCAAGGAGAGGGGGGGAGATACCCCGCTTCTCCCTTCTTCCCGCCCCCAGGCTCCTGTCACCGCCCCCCCTAGTGGGTCTATGCAGGAAGCTAGTTGACTGGCAGCCTGCAGGGCTGGGCCTCCCCCTGATACAGAACAAAGCAGAGGGCAGGCTCTGGGGACAAACAAGGCCAGGCCCAACCCTGGGGAGCAGGGTTACGTTGAATCCCTCTGAGCCTCGGATTCCCCACCTGGAAAATGGGCGTATGGTATACAGGGCATCTGCTCACGAAAGGCCGAGCGCAAAGCCAATTGGCCCGCGCTGGCAGGTGGGAGGGAGCAGCCTGCACAGGTGAGTGAGGGGCCCGGCGGCCGGTTGCTGCTCAGAGGATGAGTGGAGGGAGGAAGGCCTGGGAATACGCTCGAGGCACAGGAGCAGGGCTGCCGCTGGTGGTATTTTTATCTCAGAGACCTGCCCATCTGTCCTCTCTCTGCTCTGAGCTGGTGACTCCGTCAGTCTCCTTTTAGAAACCCTGAGTCAGAGCTGACCACACCGGAGCTCGGGGCAGTTGGGAATTTGGTCTTCGGGCTCCTTCCAAAGGATTTCAAATCCGCTGGATTTTTATTTAGTGTCTCTGCCTTCAACCGCTGCCAAACTTTCCTCTCTTCCTCCATCCCGGGGCTGAGCTGTCTCCAGACTCTCTCTTTGTATAATTAAAAAGAAAAATAGAACAGCCGATGTTGCCAAACATGTATTTAAAGTGACACCCTGGGTCCAGGGACTGCAAAATAAAAACGTTTAAGGTTTAGATTAAAAGTCTCCGTGCTCAGCTGTCTCCTGACCCTGGGCCGCCTTTAATCCGTTGCCCTGGTTTGTAAAAAGCCTTTTAACTGAGGGCATTTATTTTGCCGAGAACTGTTCCAGCTCAAATCACACAAAAATGCCCAGGCTCCTAGGAACAGCCTGGCAAGTGCAATGCAGTTCTATGAAGCCCCTGGGGAGGTGGGGAAATTGGGGTGCTGATCACCCTAAGAGCCACCCCTGAGACCTTGCTTTCCTTCACCCTGCCCTTCCACTATCACACCTACTCCATCAGAAAACCCAGTCAACTATAGCCCTTAACATTTTCTTAAAATCTGTGCTCTTGTCTCCAGCATCATCTATCATCTTCCACCTTCTGCAGGTCACCATCATCAATTGCCCAGAAAAAAACCTGCTCCTGGTGTCTCTGCTTCTACCCCTTTGTGTGTGTGTATATATATATATATATATATACTACCCCTTTATATATATATATATATTTTATTATTATTATTCTTTTTAATTAAAAAAAATAATTTTCAGAGAGAGGAAGGGAGGAGAGGGAGATAGAAACGTCAATGGTAAGAGAGAGTCATTGATCAGCTGCCTCCTGCACGTCCCCTACTGGGGATGGAACCTGCAGCCTGGGCATGTGCCCTGACCAGGAATTGAACAGCAATCTCCTGGATCCTAGGTCGATGCTCAGCCTCTGAGCCAGACCAGCCGGGCAAGGTGACCACACTGTTTAAAGCCCTCCAACAGCTTTGCATCTGAGTTAGAATAAAACCCAAGCTCCTTGCCTGCGATGGGAAGGCCTCATCTGATCTAGCTCCTTTCTCTCTCTCCTGCACATCCCCCACTCCCCTCAGCTTACTTACACTGGAGCTACTTAATCCTCACTGTTCTTCCCACCGGCCAAGTCCTCAAGGACTCTTCACATGCTGTTCCCACGGTCCAAATGCTGTTCCCCCAGATCTTCACATGGCTGGCTGCTTCTCCCCTTCACTTAGCTCAGTGTCACCTTCTCAGAGAGGCCTTTCCCTGATGAATCCATCTCACCCACCACTCCCTGCTGCCTCTCAAATCACCACGGTTTCCTTAATGTCAACCTAAGCCCTTCACTTCACCTGTTTATTTGCTTTTTAAATGTATTTGTTTACTTAGTGTCTCTTTCCCCCACTGGAATGTGAACAAATGAGAGGAGAACCCCTTCCTTGCTTTGTCCACGGCTGCACCCCCAGTGACTGGTGCACAGCAGACCCCTGTTAAATGCTGGTTGAATGGATGAACGGACAGGGGACTGTCTGGACCTTCGGTTTGGTCTCTGGGCTTCAGTGTCCAGGATTCAGGCCCGGGGTGGAGGCCGGTCAGAGAGGGAGCAGAGTGCGACACTTAATGAGCACTTCCTCTGTGCCAGGCCCTGCGCTGGTCCTTCCTTCATGAAGCTCAGCAGTCACTGAGCACCAGCTGTGTGCCAGGCCTGGCGCCAGTTCCTAATTCAACTCAAGGAGCACTTACTGAGTACCTGCTGAATGCTAGGTAACGCACACTTGTTAAGCAGCTACTGGATGCCAGCTGTCTCGAATCAGCGCCTGTGTACACAGTAGTTCAATAAACGCCTGAAGGAGCAAACGCCCTTGCGGAACCCCCAGTCTTCCTTCTAAAATGGCCTGTAAATAAATAACTCTGGCACACCACGGTATGGACATAAGGTGGGTGTGTTCGGAGTGTGGAAGGGCCCTTATCACCTGGTGCTGCCAGGTGCCTTTCCCAGGGCCTTATCGCGGCACCTGTGACCAGCTCTCCGAAGGGCAGGTCAGCTTGCCCCTCGCTCACCCGCCCGTGCGTCCCCGGGGCACCCAGGAAGGCCTGGCCTGTAGCACCTGTTCCGCCGGTGCCTGTCGTCTGATTCCTGCCGCTTCTCTTCCTGGCGGTTGTTTGCCATCCCTACGCCAGGCAGGAGGGCAGCAGGCTGGTGCCAATCCTGGCGCCTTCCACAGGCTGCCCACCCTGGCCTTTGGCCTGCCTTTTCCAGCTGAAAAAGGACTTGGTTCTCCCTCCTTGGTCCAGCCCTTTGCCTGGGCTTCTTGTAGAAATTCAGACAATGCCTAGAAATTGTTAAAGCCTTGCCCGGCCAGCGTGGCTCAGCAGTTGGGCATCAATTTATGATCTGGGAGATTTCGGTTCGATTCCTGGTCGGGCACAAGCCCGGGTCGCAGGCTTGGGCCCAGGTGGGAAGCGTGCGGGAGGCAACCGATCAATGACTCTCATCATTGATGTTTCTCTCTCTCTCTCCCTCTCCCCTCCTCTCCGTGACATCATTAAAGATGTATTTAAAAAAAAAAGAAATTGTTAAAGCCTCAGATCCTTACCAGAGTCACAAGGCTCCGCCTGATCTGACACTTCCTTCCAGCCTTCCTTCCTCCTCCTGCTTCTATTTTAAATCTTGGTGAAATATACACATTTACCATTTCAACCATTTTAAAGTGTACCATTCAGCAGCATTAAGTACCTTCACATTGTTGGGTGACCATCCCCACCATCCTTCCCTTTCTTAATAATAATAATAGAAAGTTCACTCCTTTGCTCTTTTAAGATCTTATTTTTAATCAGTTCATTTAGAACATTTATAAAGATAACTTTAAAAATATACCGATTATTTTGGTAAGAAATGGCTAACACTGTGAGCAACGTGTAAAAATAAAGAAGAATATTATGCAGTTCTAAGTTTTGAAAATAGGAAACAAGCATGTAAATGATTTTTAAAAGTAATATATTATCATCACCATGCACTTAAGAAGCAAAACTTTGCCACCTTCATAGCAGCTTCATGCACCCTAACCGAAAGGTAGAGACAACCCAAATGTCCATCAGCAGATGAACGGACTAACTAAGGTGCCACACGCCTGCCGTGGGTGATCATTCAGTCCTAAGAGAGAGGGGAATTCTGACACGGGCTGCAATATGCGTGAACCCTGAAGACATGATGCGAACCGAAACTGACCAGACACCACAGGACCAGTAACAGTGCGGTTCCACTTACTTGACGTACGTATGGAGTCAAATTTAGAGCTACAGAAAGTGGGATGGCGGTTGCCAGCGGCTGGGTGGAGGGAGCCTCTTGGGGAGGTATTGTTTGGGCCTGTTATGGGCTGAATGTTTGTGTTCTCTCCAAGCTCATGTGTTGAGGCCCTAGACCCCAATGTGATGATATTTAGAGGTAAAACCTTGGGGAGGTGATTGTTTAGATTAGGCCAGGTGGGTGGGACCCTCATGATGAGATTAGCGCCCTTGTAAGAAGAGGTAGATAACTTGACTCACCTTCTTTCCCTGCCTCTGTCCCCCTGTTCCTCACTTTAAAAATATATATGTTTTTATTGATTTTTAGAGAGAGGAGAAGGGAGAGGGAGAGAAAGATAGAAACATCCATCAGCTGCCTCCTGCACGCCCCCTGCTAGGGTTCGAGCCTGCAACCCGGACTTGGGCCCTGACCGCGAATGGAGCTGGTGACCTCTGGGTGCATGGGAACGATGCTCAGTCCACTGAGCCACACCGGCCAGGCGGGTTCCTCAGTCTTGCATCCCCACCCAGTAAAGTGCCACCTCACAAACTTCTGACTCAGACTCTGCTTTCTGAGCAACCCAAGGAAGACATACACTGTGCCCCTCCGCTCTCCTGTTGGTGAAGGTCGGGGTTGCTTCAAGGTTGCTGAGATTGCACGCGGGG